CAGCCTTCCCCTATTTGCTGCATTTGACATTGGTGCCCACACGTGTCTGGAGTCTTTCTCCTTTCTGGGTTTTTGTCACCCGGCCCTCTGCTGGCTGGCCCAACTGACCTCTCCTTTCTGACTTTCCTTCTCTGCCTCATTATTCACCTCATGCCTTGGAATGATAAACATTCCAGAAGGCCCTTTCCTGGGCCCTCCTTCTCTACCCTCTCTTAGTGAGAGGGGTAACAGCTCTCATGTATTTATCATCTCTCTACTGCTGGGCTTCAGTCCCACATCACCAGTTGCCTATTGGACATTAGAGCACATAGACTTACACGCAACATGTTTAAAACTGAATTACTCGTCTCTCTAAACCTTCTTTTCCCAATGACCTTTTCTTTTCTGTCAGAAGCACCCCATGCTTCCAATGTCCCAGGTTTGCAACCTCAGCACTACCCTGGCCTTTCCCTCTGGACCTACATGCTGTTGGCAAATCTTGCTGTTTCTACCTTCACCTCTCTCTCATCCTCTCCCCCTCCCTCTTCCTCTATCTTTCTCATCCCTCCTCCTATCTCTCTCCTCTCTCTCTCTGTACTCCCTGCTCCCTCTCTCTCTTCCTCTCCTCTCTCCTCTTATGGCCTTGGTACTCACTCACACAAGCAATTCTTTTCATTTGGATTCTCCTACATAATTACCACCTATTTGGTGTCCCTGCCTCATCTCTTTCCCCTACAGCCTATCCTACACACAGCTGCCAAAGTAATTTTCTTTTTAATTTTTCAAGCAACAGGTGTTTTAAAAACTAATCTGTTCCGTCCTCTACCCTTCCCACTTAAACTCGTCACATAGCTACATAGTTCAGAAGCAAAACAAATCCTCCCATTATGTTCAGTCGTGTCTGACTCCTTCATGATTCCATTTGGAGTGGTTTGCCATTTCTTTCTCCAGTTCATTTTACAGATGAGGAAACTGAGGCAAACAGGGTCAAGTGACTTAAGTGCCCAGGGTCACACAGCTGGTGTCTGAGGCCAGATTTGGACCTCAGGAAGGGGAGTTTTCCTGATTCCAAGCCCTGCACTGTGCACTATGGTGCCCTCTAGTACCCCGTAAGTTCATCACCTGTCAGGTGAGTGGCAAGTTTTACCTTTGTTCTCTCAGTTCATCACTGGTTATAAAGACTTTTCAAGTGGTTTTCCTCTGTTATCATTGCATAAATTTCTCCAAAAGTATTTTTCTTTATGCACAGATCTGATGTGACTCCTTTACATCCCCTGCTACAGTGGTCACCTATTAACATCTAGAATTAAAGACAAACTCTTTAAGGTTTTAAAACCCTTCACCACCTCATTGGCCATTACTGACCCTCCAGCATGTGGTAATTCAGCCAAACAAGAGTGCCTTGTGTCTTACTGCCCACCACCTCCCTTATCCTCATTCCTCCCATCTTGGCATGAAGCCTTTCCTGATAGTCCCCAGCTGCTGGTACCTCTAAAACGACCTTGGATGCATTTCCATGTGATCATCAGTTTTATATTTACGCTATGTGCAGTTTTACATACTCATACCCCACTAGTATGTAAGCTCCTCAAATATTGGGATTATTTCTTGTATCCCAAGTGCCCTATAGGGCAGTGCCCTAGAACATAGATCTTGGGACCGCTGCTCAAATGATGTGGGAAGGGATGAGGCATCTGTGAATGTCATAGGAGGGGAAAAGTTGCCGATTTTAGAGAGAAGATATTTCTGTATGTATGCAGAGATAGGGGAATAACTGGACCTTTCACAACCCTCATTCTCCTTGACTTCTTAGGAGCTGTTGACTCTATAGAGATCATTCTCTTCTGGGTTTTGGGGACACCCTTCCTTCCTATCTGAATGCCCGTCTCAGCTCTGGGTGCCTGCTGTCTCCTCCCCTCTCCTCCCACATGCCTGGAATGTTCTCTCTCACTACTGGCCTCCTAGGCTTCAACTAAATTCCAGTCATTTAGATTGGGAACTCCTTGTAGGCAGGGCCTCCAAATTTTATGTTCCCAGGGCTAAGCAATCCCTGGCACAAGTGTATTGATTGACCCTAGTTATATATGCTCAATAATACACTCAAGATAAATCTGGGTTCTTCTGTTACTCTGTGGTTCCAAAAGGCCTGATGAGAAGAAGATACACTTCTATGATAAAATGAAGGATTGAGCATTCTGATTCCAGGGAAAGAAGCCACTATTACTCCCACCTTTCACTGGAAAAATGCAGTCAGTCAGTCAACGTCCACAAGAACCCTGTTACAGTCTTTGGGATGGCTCAAGATACCAGTAATCTACTTTTTTTCATTCAAGCCTTTAATTTCATATCCTATACAATCCTCTATAACCATAAGAATCTTGCCAGAGTCTGGCTTCTGTGCAAATGAAAACTCCTTCCCTTCTCCCCTCCCAAAGCAGTTTTTGCTTATGAATACTGTTACATTAAGCCTTCAAATATCCAACAGCCAAATGAATCGCTCTGTAAATTATCATGGCTTCAAGTTAGGCCTTGAAAGAGTTGGAACAAGTTCAAATCTCTGAGTTTCAAATGGCAGGCCCACGTGTTGTCCATTCTAGAATTTTCAAAATTGGACATTGTCTAAACAAAACTTACTACAGTGAAATCAGAAAAAACCTGTGTTTGAAAAAAACTCTTTTTTCCCCCAACAATTTTTGCAGTTGTGGTAGAGAGATTACACTTCATAAAATAATCATTGCAAGGGGTGGAGAAAAGTTGGGACTGCCATAAAAATACATGTCTATACATTCAGTGTATAATTTATTTACCACAAAACCATGAGCAAGTAAATTCAATGAATTCACGCAAAAAGTTTTTAGGTTATGAAGAAAAACATTTAATGAAAAAAAGTTTACATTTGCTAAAAAAAAAACCCCAAAACAAAAAACGAAACTTCATTGCCTTGAACATTGTCATTCACTGCCCCATTTACAAAATAACTTGAAATTTTGTGACAATCTGTCAAACTATATTATATTCACTTAACTAAATATCTGTTCTGTCCTTATTGCCTTAAAATTATGTTTTACTATTTGTAAGATGACCATCGTCTTCACTTTCTTCTTTGTTGCCTGGATTTAGAACAAAAAACACAAGATAGACATATATAAATATTTTATCTTGTATACATATGTATTAACAGCAGATACATGTAACGGCATTTCCAGTTACACAGTTATTGAGAAACATGAGAGCAATATCCCGTTATCTAACCACAGTACCTGAAACCCAATTTCCTATTAGATCCCATATGCTAGTCTTCTTTTCTGCAAAAATTCTACAAGAGAACTTGTTCAGTTTAGGTTTAATTTTTTTCTTTTTCAGATCAATGAATAAAAAAGGAAAGATCTGCAAGACAAATCACAAGTTAACTTAAACATTTTATTTAACATAATCGATCACAAGCTACACTGGAGTAAACTTCTCAGTCTGTTGATAATATGGACTTATATAACTTCATATCATTTTTGAAATGGCTGAAGGAAATGCTAAATTCAAAACACATTGGCTTTCAACTGAAGAGTCCTACACTGGGTCAAAATGGATAAAATATAGAAACGAATTAAGATGCACAGAATGTTAAAATTCATATTATGAGAGGCCTAAGTTGCACTTTTCATCATGAAATTCAAGATAATGCAACATTCATTTGAATTCTTATTTCTGAGAAATGTGCTATATGCTAGTATTAGGCCAATTGAAGAGTCTGGTTTCCCTCTGCTTTAATCCTACTACAGTGACCAGAGGGCTCTGGAAAGTCATCTCCGTGCCAAAAACTGGGCCAGGTTTCACCCAATTCAAAGGTTCTGGATCTAGACCTAGTGAAGGACTTAACAGTGTGTGGAGGTGGCCTGTGGACCAGCCAAACAAAGTGCCAAGATCGTACCACAAGATAAGCTGCCCTCCCTCTATAGGTAAGTAAGGGCCCAAAGGCCATCAATTAAGTTCTGATGTGTCTGTGATATAATCGGTAGAAGAAATACCCACACAGAAAGATTATGGAATAGTACAAGAAAATTCCTAACTATTCTTAAAACAACAACAGATTCTTGGGATATTTAAATAATAAGGTAAGGAAGCTCCTTTTGAATACCTGGGGAATTGTAAATATAAATTAAAGTTAATTGATGCTTATTAAGGCTTTCAGGATAGGTGCTTTAAAATGTAAATAGGTTAGGGCAAAAAAAAATCTCATTGACCTGGGGCGTTCAACTATTTCCAACAGGTGTGACAACCTTAAAGAGAGAGAGACCAGATAGTTTGCTTACTTTACACACAATTGTAATAGGTTAGTTATATAGTTTTCTATAGCTGTCAAGGAGGTTGGGGAAGGGTGAAAAGGGGAGAAGGAAAGCAAATGACAGTAAGAAAAATGTATAGCTGACAATGAAGAGTCTGGGATGATTGTGGGTCTGCAAATATCATTATATTACAGCATAGTAATTGATGTCCATAGTGATGACTACTACTCATCAAGAAAAGGTTAAATTACATTTTGAATACTCGGCTTTAGAAAGCAGAGAACTGTGTAATAGATTTTAGGAAGGTTTCTATCTAAAGCCGTTAAAATTTTAAAAAAAAGGCTAGTGCTTAAAGGGCAGAGTGAGGGTTCAATTATTCATAAAATTAGCTTACACTATCCAAGCTTCATATTTATCCAAATCTGATACTACTTGGATAAACAAGGCATTATACTGTACCTAAAAGAATCGATGTTTTACCATTCATAACAAATGGTTGCTTTTCACTTTTGTTTCAGAATCACAAAACTAAAAGCAAACTTGGTTATCACCTTCCCTGCCCTACAGTGCTCATTTACAATTTTTGCTTTGTTAGGGAGGAAGCTCAACATATTCCAAACACTTAGGCACTCCTCTGCCCCAAGACAGACAAGACCTGTTTCATCTGTTCTGGAAAAGTGGACCATATATGTGTTACCAGCACAGAATAAGGTAAAGATTGGTATAGAAGAAAGGGTTTCACTTGATATTTTATTTAAATTGCCTTAGATAGCAAACACACATTACCTCATTCCAAAGTCATGTAAATGGTTTTTAGCTTATCTTATATAATACTGAGAGTTGAACCTAAACCTTTGAGAAATTTAGCAAAAAATGTGATATGCCCATTAAAAAGAAACATCATAAAATATGACATCATACCTATTTTGAACTTGTGGTTAGCTGGTTTGCTCTCCTTAAGTTGTGTTTTCCTCTTTTCCCTGAGTTCCAAAATTCCTGGTCATTACTTAATTTTGTGGATTCCGCAGCATTATTTTCTTGAGTCTGGTTTTTGTTATTTTCTAACATCGCACTGCTGCTTCCTTCTCTAAGCAAAGAAGGCTCTGACTGGGTTTCTTGAGGAGATAAAACCACTTTTAAATTGTCACTTGCCTGTGGGACAGATTTTAGAAGACTCTCTGGGCTATACTTTTCAACATCAGTTGGCTCTGACAGTTTGCTACTAGGTGTCTTTGATTTTCTTCTCTTTCTCAAAAGAGTGCTGTAAAAAGTTTTCTTCAAATTTGAGACTTTTTCTGGGGTTGATTCTCTTGCTGTGGTGGACTGGTCATGTTTGCTAAGATTAGCAGATCTTTGCAGATCTGTATCGCCCCCTTTCTCATGTCTTGTGTTTCTTGTCAGGAAAAATCTGAAGAATATTTTCTTTTCTAATCTTACCCAAAGCTAAGATGTCCTTTGACAAAAGATTAAATCCTATCCATTCTGTATTGCTGCTGCTTCTCGCTTTAGACCTTCAATGTACCCAGTCTTCAGTCATATCTCCATCTTTGTTCTCAGCGCAAGCTATCTCCATCGCCCTAAGCAAAAGAGAAATATAGAGTTCTTTCCTCAGTTTCATTTAGGCTTCCAATTCTAAAGGATTCTTCCACTCTATCCTCAGCTTTATTTTCCAGGCTTGGAAGCTGCTTTTCAACAATCTTTGTTGGACTAGGTATCCGATAAATGTCTTGTGGTTCTTTTTTTCTCTTTCTAGTTAAACATAAAATTCCTTCAGGTACCAATGAACTTTTAAAGATATCCGGGCAAAGACCCATGCATGTGTCATCTTTTTCTATATCATTTGTGGGTGGTGATAGAGGATTAGATCTTTCAGTCCTGTATCCTTTTTATTTTTACTGCTAGCCCTTAATCCAATCTTCTGGACATTGCAGGCTTTTTTCCTTTTTTGAGGTTTATCTCAGGTGCAACCCTGGCAGCATAGAGTAATCTATGCCCCTACTTCTAGATCATGAAGACCCGTGACATGGACTCACTGCTTTTTGGTTTGCTTTCTTCTCTGGGAGACTCCTCCCTTGACACTCCATACATATACTCTCTTGTGTTTCCATTTTGTTTTGACTTGGAGATCTTGATGACATAAACTTCTCTGGAAGCTCTTGTGCAGTCTGTTTCTTTCTGTATCTATTTTATTTTTGCCTCTAGTTTTTGAAAGTATCATCCCTGTATTGGGACTTGCATCTTCCAGTTTCTCCTCATTCCCTGTCTTACATAATTCAGTTGATAAACCTAAATTAGGCTCTTGTGATTCCTTGGCAGACTTAATTGTACTGCTATCTTTTCATGAACTGTGGACACTCAGGTGGTGTCTTTTCCTTACTCTCTATGCATAACTTCTTTCTCAAATTTGGCTTTCCTTAAAAATTTTGGTTTTGCTTCTTGTTCTTGAAGCCAGTCCATCTTCAGTCACAGTCATCTTCCCCTGAAAACTCTTGATATATTTTTTGTCATTTTCTGTGTGTAACTCCTCTATTTTACTGGATAAACCCAAATGCTATTCCTCAATACTTTTATTTCTATTTCTAGGATGCAATATTTTCTTTTGACCTTTTAAAATCCATGGGAAATTTTTCCAAGGTACTTTTTCACTATTGGGGAATATTTTGTCCGATTCAGTAGGAAATATTTTATTTTTATTCCTAGAACACAACACCATCATTCCTTTATTCACAATTCTTTGTTTCAATTTTAACCCATTTAAGACCTTCAGGGGCTTTTGTTCATTTTGTTCTGTGTCAGATCTTATTTCACTAACCGAACCACTAACTTTTGTTTTTTCATCAGTATCAATTTTCGGTCTAGCCCTCTCCATCGGTTGGTTTGCTTCCCATTAGATCTTCTGCTGGTTTTACTTTTGACATTTTCAAAACTCTTCTAAAATTTGTTAAGTTTTGCACTAGTTTTGATGTTTCCTTAGGAAGATCTGTAAGTTTTTCTGCTTCCTTCGGTTTTCTTCTAAGTTTGCCTAGGCCGTCCAGTCTCCTGGTCAAAGTCAGATCTTCTACTGATCCATATTTCTCATCTATTTTTATTAGGAGGGACTTGTTCATGTTTTTGGATTGAATTTGCTTTGGAATAGTCGTCCTTTCTGGCCCTTTCTCCTTAAGAGGCTTCATATTTCGGTTGCTTTTTTCCTCTGGAGGAGTCATCAGTCTTTCATTGCCGCCCACCTCCTCCTCCCCTGCTTCTACCTTGTCCTTAGGAGTTCTCATCAGTCTCTTGACCACTGTTGTCAGATGCTTGACGGAGCCATATTTTCGTTTAGGAGTCTTCATCACCTGCTCGGGGAGATCCTCTGCCTCAGTTTGCTGCTCTACTGTCCTCATCAGCTTCTTTTGGACTTCAGCTCAGGTTGTCCCAAGATTTTCCTGAACTGAATTTGCATCATCCACAGCAGACTCTGCCACTTTGTTTTCTTGGTCTTCTTTTAGTTCTGTTGTAGTTGCCGTAGGCACTCTGATGACAATTAGGTCTTTTGTTTTTGTTTTTCCCTTCGGGGTTCTTATTACTTTCTTTATGCCTCCTGGTGTTACAGTTCCTAGGGCAGCCTGCACATCTAGAGACACAATACTTGGCTTTAGACTTCTTTTATAGGCTCCTGTCGGAGAGTACTCTTCATTTTCTGATGAAATTCTTGATTGCTTTATGATTCTTGTTGGCTGGTCAGTGACAGGTGGCTCTTTATTTGATTTGGTGACTAACTGACCTGACAATTTTGTTTTTTGATTCCTTAGGTCTATATCTATTGCGTTTCCTTTTTCTCTTTCCCCTCCTTTGATGTTAACAGTGCTGGCCCGTGAATTTGGTGTTATATGTGTAGCTGTAGCTGATGTTATTACTGGATGATGTTCTGCTGTACTTGTCGTGCTGGGCTTCACAAATTCCCTAGCTATTTTTGGTTTAGCCCCGTTTACATTTCCACTTTCAAATTTTTCTTCCATATATGTAAAATTTTGATCTATTTGTGGTGTTTTAATTCTGCTGAGATATGGTGTTGATACATTTTCCTTTGATGTACAGGTCTTTACCTTTTTTGAATTCGGTGTTAATATTTTGGGGTCTACATTGACTCCTCGAAGTGCAATCTTTGTTATTTCATCACTTCTTATTTCAGAGATCTCCTTTAGGGTTTTAATTATTTCATCACTGTCTACCCATTGCCGCCGATTTCTTGGGGAATGGCTGCATATAATGCTCTGGCCATATAGCTGTTTCGTTGTGTTGGGAATAGGAGGTATCAATCTCTCTGCTGTAATAAATGACAGAATAAAGATAATTACGAAACAAAGACTATGCCTCCGCTCACCAATCTAGGGACTAATTCTTCTTTATGAATTAAAGGTCTACCCCAATTATGTTTTGTAGTCTTGTGTTTTCCTGGCCAATGATAATATTTAGTTAGATGATGCAAATCTATGCCTATCCAGGTTAAATATATATATATGTGTATGTATATATAATATATGTAGGTATAGATATCTATCTATCTATCTATATATTGTTGCATTACATGTAAATATAATACATAGACATACGTAACTTTAAGTATAGCTAGTTTGGTTGGAATACAGAGTACATGAAGGAGAGCAATATGAAATAAAGTGGGTTTTGGGAGTTTGCGTTTAATCCTAAAGGAGGAGGAAGCCAACTAAAGATTCTGGGGCATACTAATTACTATGGGTTAGATCTGCACTTTAGGAAAATAACTTTGAAAACTGTGTGAAGGGAAGGATTGTGGAGAGGAGGCCAATTAGGAAGCTGTTTTAACAGTTAAGGGCTAGAGGCAACTAGGGCCTGAAAGTAGAGTGTTGGCCATGTTAGTAGGAAAAGAGGGATAAATCCCTTTTATTCTTGGAGAGAGAACTGACAAGACTTGCAATTGATTAGATAGGACTGAGGTGAGATTGAAGAGTCGAAGATTCTTTGTATAGTTGCTAAATATAACTTATAAGAAATTTTCAAATTGTTGTATCACAAGAATGTCTAAACTACGTTTAGATGTTAGCTCTCCTTATTCATCAAAAAGTAAAAATCCTACAGGGATGGGTCATGTCATTGTGATTCAGTGAGGGCCCAGCCCTTCGGTTGAAGGTTAGTTTTGCAACTCATGAAACCTCTACTGGTGTGGCAAGGGCTTATATTTGACATGGGGCTACAAATACAAATCCTAACTTGCCATTCCAAAGTTTCACAGAAGAAGAAAAAAAGGAAAACTAACCACTAAAGTCATTACCTGATCTATGTTCTAAAGAGTCTTCATCTCCTGAAGAGTTATATGAAGTTGTACCAATCTCAGGAGACATGTTTGCAGTTTTGTGTTTGATAGGGGTTTCAAACATGTCTACTAATTCTATTAATGAAGAAAATAAGGAACATTAATGTATATATTAAACACATAGAATATAATATATGTGTATGTACTGTATATATTACAGATATATATTTTTTAAAAATGTAAAAAAGTCATATTCCACCCTCTTCCAACAAGAAAATAATGTGACGGAGTTTCCATTCTATTCATAAAGAGATCTCTTCTCAAAGTCCAGGGCACCCAATCAGTCTAGATGCAAACTCTTGACTCTCATACCTACTTCAAACAATGCAACAGACTCCCTCTGCTCATTATGCATAATGATTTCTTTTCAAAGTCCAAGGCCCCAAACCTAGGCTGCAAACTCAACTCTCCTTTCCTGCTTCCTTCCACTGGCTTTCAGTTCTTCTTGACTGGCATTTAGGCCAGTCTGTCTGCTTCTCTTGTTCTACTGAGTCACAACCACCTTTATTCTTCCCCTGACCACAAACCACAAGATAGAGCCTAGCCCTGCCCAGAGGCGTAACTATGCCAACTGAGAGTTATCATGGGGCTAGTTTGTTTGTAGCTGAAAAGATAAGCTATCCCACCAGACCCGATTACAACAATTGGCCAGGACCTCCAAAGAATGTGTGCTCCCCCTTCTGCAGGAGTTGGGGAGCATTTCTATCAGCTCTTTTAAAATTGTGCTTTTACAAACACATTTTGGCAGGCAGTCTCAATATGCCTGCCTACATGACATTCTCATGGCCTTCTGTGCACACTTTTTCACCTGTTAAATCCTCATTCACATCTATCTTAGGTTTTTTAACAAAGTTGTTCAGCATCCTACAGGGCCATATAGGTACGGTCACTTTTTCAGTATGAGCTCTCCCAGTCACTATGGTGCAGGAAGAGTTGGCGTGGCCTGTGCTAAAGTGATTCTGTGCATGGTTTGCAGGCTTCTTCTGTAAAGTAAAAAGAAACATTTCCAAAAATAATTTCAGTATTTCTTAATGTTTGCTCAGATGACATTCATAAGTACACAAGTGTAAATGTGTAATACATATGATATATATGTATATACACACACATATATTATGTATATGTATAACGCACACACACATGTAAAAATGATCTCCACATTTCTGTAATGTACCTTGACCTTGTGGGTTAATCTCTTCTGCTGTTTTATTATTATTCTCTCAAGACCATGTTTTATAACAATGTGTGCTTGTGGGTTTTTTTAGTACCTAATCTCACCACATCTGCCCAAGAGTGTACAACTGTTAAGTAACAAACAATTAATAAAAATAAAATTCATTCAAACAGAAGATAAATGAACATGTTTTGGAACAAAGAGAAAACCAAACCTCCCTAAACACTGATATCTTCCCTATTTCTAGTCACCCAACTAACTTCAGGGCATTCTCTCCCCTACTTTCTACCTGGATACATCCAGCCAAATCTTGCCATTTATCTCTTCTCTCCACATCTATCCAGTCAACTCCTCTTTTCTCTTGACTCGCAAATACCTCCAGGTACTGACTGTATCTAAAAGCTCCCCCTGCCCCACACTCTCACTGCAAACTGATTTGTAACAGGTGCCTAATTTCTGTTTTCCCTCATTTTAATTTCTCTTTCCTACAGCAGTTGCCAAAGTGATTTTTGCTAAACCCAGCACACGAGTCTTCCCCATCATGTCTCAACTCCTTCATGCTATTCTTGACAAACTCTAAGTAGCTTTCTGTCACTCCCATGAGATTACTAACTTTTCCAGCCTTGTTGTATTTACACCTTTTAACTCTAGCCCAGCATAACAGCTCTGCACTGTCTGATCCAGCCATATACTGGCCTTCTTACTGTTCCTCCTACATCTGTTCCCTGTGTTGGTAGACTGTACCTCTTAAGCTCTTTGAAGCCAGGGGACTGCCTGCCCCCTGCCTGTAAAAACCATCTTAAAATTATTCCTTGCTCAAATACCCATGAGATTGGCTTTTGATGCACCGCTTCTCTTCTTGGCGTAAATCATCTGTAGCATTTCAAACTGGCTTCTTCCAGAGGAGGATCTCCTCAGGCGCGATGGTGTGCTCACGATTTTGTGGGGCTGGATGGTCTGGATTTCGGGAATAGATGTTACTCTCTCATTGAGTAATTTTGAAAGGGTTGTATTATCCCTGCCCAGAGCAGACTTCTTCTGAAGATGATGAGTGGCTGGAAGCTCTTGTGATGGGTCTTTTGTACATGGTATGCCTTCCAGTAAACTGTTAGAAGGCTCTTTTTCTGGTGGTTTAGAATGTGTCTGCTGAAATGGACATTTTTATACAATTTATAAATGACAAGATCTGCTATACGGTTCCCTAAATAAATAACTGAATTTTCCCAAGGTGCATCAAAAGCCTGTGACAGACATTTCACTGGAGTCTGACAACAACCCTTTGAGGGCTAATCCTACAGAGACTATCTCTGCAAAGGTACCCCTTGAGGCTCAGGTGAGCTTTGGGGACAAAAGTCTCCGCCAGCTGCCAGTTAGCAGTGAGATGTATATAACCACACGTATGTCTCTTTATCACAACGATGGCAGCCACCATCGGTCCGGAGCACATTAGTTTAGGCCTTGCCTTCCTAGCAATGAGAGCTATGATACCCCAAAGTTGGAAAGGATTGCTTCCCCAAGGCAATTGGAGGAAGACGAGGTCCTCGAACAAAGCCTGTCTGGCCACTTGTTAGGAATGCTGGCAAGTTCACTGGTTTGCTGTAGATGGGACCCCTGCTGTCAGCTGAAAAAGCTGGAATGGAGTTTTCCATCATTACCAGAGCTCAGTGCTTCAGATTAACTGTCTACCACCACCCAGTGGCAGCAACCATAATTACAGGGGCATACCATTGGGAGCGTTGCTTGGCAAAGGATTCATTTATTTACCTAGCAGCGCTTGTCAGGTTAGCAAAGAACTTTCTCTTTTCCCAATGACCCTAGGAAATAGGGACTATATTACTTGCCCTTAAGTATAAAACTAATAGCAGCAGCACAAAGCAGAAGCTGAATATGTTTAGAGTCTGAGGGCCCTACAAGGTACACGTCACCTCCCTTTGATGCTCCGAGGTCTTGCAAGTTTAGGGTCTGATTAAGTCAGAGTGTATAATGGGCAAAAAAAGGTTTTGCTTATTTTGTGAATCACATACTATGTATGATGGCAAATGTGAAATGAGATTTTATGACTCAGCCTTTTTTTAAACACTGCAATAACCGTAGCAGACCTAGAGAAGCTCAGGCCACTCAGGCCTGTTCACATATGTTCTATATATCAAGACCTGATGCTCCCTTTATATGCTGGAATACCTTGAGTCACGAGTGTGTGAGAAGCCAATATAACAATAAATAACTGAACTCTCTCCATTTAAAAAGATATTCAATAGGAAATCATTTTTGAAGATAGAATAATATATATATATATCACTACTTGTTAAAAATGCAGTAAGGGTATGGATCATAGAGAAATGCATAATTTAAACTATAGACAGATTAAATGCTTGTCTAAAATATTGTACCTTCATTATTGACTTTCTCGGACACAGGTTCCAGATGAGCTTTTTCTCGTCTCTGGGCTTCCTCCTTTTTCAAGAGGTGCATTGGGAGGTAAATTTTCATCAAATATTTCACGTCTCAGAAGGGCTCCAAAAGAAACTCTCCTCCTTTTTTCACATGGTTCATTATTTTCAGTAACATTATCTTTAAAAAAAAAGTATATGTATATTTGTATACACTATATATATATATATATATATATATATACATACATATATATGTATATATATATATATATGTATATATATATGTATGTATATATAGGTTTGTTTAATGTACTTAGCTCCACATGCTGAATACAACAAAAAGATATGAATACACACACATTATAGCTCGAAACAAATTGGAATGTGAAGGAGCTTTACAAAGACTTCTCAAGAGGATGTTCTGAGTTGCCTAGAATCCAACTCTCAATCACTCCTGGAAAGCACTGTTAAAATATGTCGAGGGGGCTTTGGGAGCAAAACAATTAAGTGTTGCCTTTCCAATATCCTCCTCCTGATGGCGTCTTTGGATGGGTTATCAGTTATCAGTGACCCTAAAAATTTAACTTTTCATTATCTGGATCTGTTGAGGAGATAGGCAATCAATAATTTTGAGAGGGAAGGAAGTGAGCTGATCAACTTGCATCAGAAAAACTCCCTTTGGCTACAAAATAAGAGCCCAAACTAAATGTATCTTATAAACATGTTTAAATGTAGATTACACAGACTACTACACACAAATGGCAGAAATGTAAAATCTCTTTAGAAATGAAGATTTACCCAGTTTGTGAGTACCTGAATCAGAAGAAGAATCCACAAAATCGCTGATATCAAACTCACTGATATCAGGTGATACACAATGAGGTATCTCGTCAATGTCATCCTCATCTAACGATTTGTTAGAGGTTTCATCATCATCAGCTACTTTTGGAAGAAATGTTGATGGCTGCTTTGTGGTATCTGTAGAGGAGTTAATGCTGCTGTCTTTGAGAACAGGCTTCTCAACAAGTGAATCCTCTCTCTTGAGTTTGGGCAGCAGTAGGCCATGGCCACCACTCCCCAAGAAGCACATGTCGGGCCTCTTGGTTTGGGACCGAAGTGTGTGAAAAGAGGGTTGACTTTGGGCATCCACCAGGGGCCACCCAGGGGCTGGCCTCCTCCTTTTGTCCTCTTTCCTGCAGCCCTTACTATATTTCCCTGAATTCTCAGTGGGTCATTCTTCGCTCTTCTTCCATTTTGAGGGCGTGTTCAGTTGCTGTGATTGCTGGTCTTCTTTATGAAGGAAATTTTCATCCCACTGTAACAAAGGGATGCTCCAGAAGGGGTCCTCAGTTTCTTTTTCACCATCACTGCTGTTATCGTCGGACCCATTGGAGACGGTGACACACCTTATGGTGCTGCCCCACAAGGTGCTGGAGTGGGGCAATTGAAAAAGCTGTACTTCCCACTCTGCATCATTCCTACTTGAGGGCCCTGGTTTTCTATGGCTGTCATGCAGATCGACAGTTGGTTGGCTCTGGGCATCCGAGGCATCTTGCATCAGGCCCAAAAGTTCACTAAAAGGAGGTAAAATGTCTTCATTCGTCCCGGGATGTTTGGGAGTCGAAAAAAGACTCTGATCTCCTCTACCACCTTCAGCTGCTACATGGGTGGAGACAGTTTTTTCAAGGAGGTCTGTGGCACCTTCTGTCAATTCTTTGGTTTCTAAAGTTAGCATTATCCCTGTGGATTATCAAAACCAACATCAGCATGTTTTTTAGATGTATTTGGTCTTACACTATTTTCTTCAGTACATTTAATAGCAATGTTTCTGAAAGACACCTGGTCTATATCTGTATTCAAAAAAAACAAAACAACACATACGAGAAGGCTTGAAAATATCTTCTTGAAATATATTACTACTAGTAATTAGTCAATTGTATTAACAATTAATTAGTAATTGAATACTTGAAAGTAAAATGAAAAACCTCCCTCAAATTATTGTTTTTTTAAGTCTGTCTATAAATGAATTTTTAAAAACAACAATCAAAAAACCCTCCCTCTCTCTATCCCCTATAAATTTAGTCTTGTTTCCCCCAAACAGGTTCATATATAACATGTAGACTGTATTATATAACAATAGCCTAAGTTAAGAATTAATTTTCTGTTTATATTGGAGGTCCTTCTTATACACTTCTTAGCACAATTGCACATACAACATTTATATAAATAGTATGAATTCTCAGTAAATGTTTCATTTTCCAAGAGAAAAACATGTAAACACTGTTGAGGACCCTGTATAGTTTCACAACTAGGCTAGCTGCAAATGAAGCAGCTTCACTAAAAAACCAACAAACAAAACCCATTATAAAATCCTAATTATTGCCTCTCTCCCAAACCAAATCTTGTCCCTCCCCCGACCCCTTTCCCTATATACTCTATATGCTAAAGTATGTTAGCTCATATCCTTGTACAAAATGATCCTAACAAGATTAGCTAAGCCTCTCTCTAACCTCTTCTCTCTAACCTCTAACCACCCCCATCCCCTCCCCTATCCTAACCCTATTATCTGGCTCCAGGCCAAAATGTTAAGTATTATTTGGAATTTAATCTGTTTTTTTCCTTCATTTACTTTCAGTTCTAACCTGCTGAACAAGGTTCTACTGTTGTTGCCCCCTCCAAAAAAAAAAAAACATAAACAAGGAAACAGTTACTGACCAGAGCCCAAAACTGAGGTACTTCGGGATGGAGTTGGTATCACCTATGAATCGGTAGAGGTACAGGTGTTTATTAATGTTTACATGTACTTTGTAGACTATAAGGAGAATACGATTATTATAAAGATACCATGCCCCTCCCTACCCATGCCCCTTATCAAGTTAATTCCCATGATAAAGCTAAACACCCATTATTTTAATGAATAAGTAAACTGTTACAACTTTGTTGTAAAATTCTTTGAATCTCAAGGTACATATACATTGTTCTGATTGCTTACAACATGCATCATAGTCTACATGAGTTTTTATTCAACTTATTTTTGCATCGATCAAGTAGGGTCCACCTTATAAGAAACAACCTAAGGCTTCAAAAAGATGGCCAAGAAAATATCTGATTAATGTCTAAATCTTTTTACAAATGTCAGTGTTAAAATCATGAATTGATTCTAAGTGTTAGCAACAGAATTAAAACTATCAAGCCCATCACTGACTGAGCAAAATTAGACATAAAAAGCCCAGAAGAATTATTGGAAGACCTCTACAATGTCAAAATAGAAAAATATTATACTTTCATAACTCTTACCTCTTTGTTTTTTGTTTCTGAAGGCCTTCTTAGCTGTCTTTCGCTTTGAAAGTCGTATTTATATTCAAATCTGAAGAGGGTTAAAGGTAAGGTAAGATGGTTTTAAAATAATGATTTTAAAATGTTGTATTCAATATCTGGCAACCAAGCTAATTACCTAATGATGTACATATATAATATAAAATAATTATACCAATATTGGCACATGCATATAAAATTATTAGCTTAAAAATTAGCACCCGGTTTTCATACTAAAAGAATAATTAATTATACTTGGCTTTTTCTTTCCTTCTAGAATTCAAAGGCATATATTTGATTTCCTATTTAATAAAGGAATTCATGATTATGGCCCTGATTTTGTGAAGAAAGGAGGCAGCCAGGCTTCTTTGCCAAAGATGGGATGTTAACTGAGACCTGAAGAAAGCCGAGGAAAAGCCAGGAGGTGAAGATGAGAAGGAGGGAGTGGGAGTGTTCCAGGCATTTGAGGGGGCCCAGAGGGAGAGAAGGACAGCTAAGATAAATGCTTAAAAAGTCAAGTGTATGTCTTGTTTAAGGAACAGCAAAGTAAGGAGAACAATCATTTGATGGCAGGGGGTGTGTGTGTGTGTGTGTGTGTGTTTGGAGGGATGTTTGGTAGGAATGGTGCAATTTAAAGACAGGAAAGGTCTTCAACTTATAAGATGTAAGGTTTAAACTAGTTTGTAAGAATGGAAAGGAGAGATCTCTTTGTAGGTCAGGTCAGTAACACAACAAATCACAATCCAAATTGGTAAATTAAATAATTACTGCTTTAAAAATCTTTTGCATGACAGATAGCGAAAATAGGTCACTATAGCTAAGACAAGAGAGGAGGAAAACTGGTTTTGAGAGTGGGCCCTACTTGCCCACTTAAGTGTGTCCCATTCCTTTCCTTCTCAGTGTCATCAGTACATCTCTTTAGACTGTAATTGCACCAGATGATCTGCACAGCAGCAGCACACCCAGCATTGGAAGAGGGAAGTTTCTAAACATGATGCTAAATCATAAGTCTGGACCAACTACAGAACAAACACTGACGCCAAATGAAATACAACTTTGATTAACCACAAGCCAATTAATTGGAGACCAGTTTCGCTGACCCATTATGAACACATGCCACCTTGAAAAAGGTTCTGATTCAAATCTGAATACATTCTTCTCTTTGAGGTCCTATTCAAGAAAAGTTTCTCCTTGTCAATGAGGGGCTTGGTTTGCCCTCCAATGTACTCTTTATTTATTGTCTCTTTAAAAAATTTAATAAATATATGTTCATCTAGATAGATAATTCTCCTTATCTTAGTAACAAAGTTAATAAAAATGTCTGAAACAGGTAATTATGAAATTAACACTATAACTGCTATGATAGATGCTCTGTGTGTAGTGTGTGTGTGTGTGTGTGTGTGTGTGATAGAGAGAAAGAGAGGGAGAAGGGAGAGAGAGAAAGATCTTGCCAATTTCACCTACCTGAATGACCGATCAATTATAGTAATTAAATCTCCGTGTTCAAGATTTATCGGATGACAAAAGGTAGATCCATTTAACATAATTGGAATTGTAGAATTTAAATTAGTCAGTATGGCCTAAAATGAGACAATTTTAGTAAATAAAGCTAAAATGTATATAAGAAGCAAAATGAAACTCCGGTCAAACCATACTTGCCTCCTTAAGTTGTAGATCAAATTCAATCTTGCATTGCTGCTTGGGTACTATTGGAAGCTGAAGCTGAATATCACATTCAGTATCTCTTAATTCAATTTTAAAAGAATGTTTTACTTATAAGAATTTCAGAAAAAAAGCTAATTTTGACACAAGTTTTGATATTACTATTTGATATCCCTTCACACTAAATGGTAGAATGAAAATATCTTTTAAAAATGAAAAAGCCGTTCATTCTTTTATGTGAGTAGTATTTAAATAACCACCATTTATTTATCAAATGCCTATCACCTACTGTGTGCCAGGCTCTGTGCTAAATGCTATTGGGCACCCCAAAGCAAGCTTTCAAAGCAGAAGCAGTTAAAAATTGGGAGAAACAACCTTCATTGTCATTCCAGGAAATTAGAATTCTGCCTCCTTAACACTCACTCCCTGTTGATCTTGAGAATGGACTGGTTAGTTAAGTAGGACTAGAATTTTTGTTTTTTTTACAAAGCTATAAAAATGTTGGCTAAGAAACTGGCAATATCTAAGGCAAACAAGGGACTAGTACTACACCAAAATAAAAAAAAAACACTAATATATTGGCACACTCTGCTACTAAAGGGGAGTCCTCCCCCCAAAGTTGCCTAGGAAAACTTGAGGCCACAGAGTGCCTTTATTTAGGGAACCTAGTTTCTTCCCGTTTTTTTCACTCAAACTTGGCAGAGGGTTTATGTGTGTGTCTAAGCTAATATGTTATAATGTTATAAAGTTGGTTATAAAATATCAACTTTTAAGGGATTGCTATAAAGTTACTTTTATCACTATCAGTGTCAAAGATTGGTTCAATTCTTTCCCTAGTACTTTCAAAATTATCTCATAAATGTGATTTCAGAATTAGGGTTCTCTAGGTGGAACAGTGTTAGCCTGGAGCCAGGAAGACCCTTCAAAATTTAATAGGGACTCAAAACACTAAGTCACTTTAACCCTTCTGTCTCTGCCTCCAAATTTCCTCAATTATAAAATGGGCATACATGATACATCTGTCAAGCAAGATATCTTGTGTGGTGCCTGATTTGTAATAGGTAATATAAAAATGCTAGCTATCATCAAAGTTCTGTCAATGGAGTAAAAAAAAAATCATAGTTTGCTATTCCCACCACCTGTCATCATGGGGTAAACAAAGTACTTCCCTGAGCAACAAAATTTCTCCCTTACATCAGGAAATTATCTTAGTTTGATCTATCTTAAAATTAAAAGCAAAAGCAACCAGGGTGGTATTCTGTGAATAAAGGATGAGCTAGCAAAAAATGATTACTCTTGATTTTAAATTCCATAGCCAACTAGAAAGCACACTCCTATTGCTTCGTGGGTGCCCTAGCCTGTCTTTTCCAAAGCCAGGGGGCTGCATGGAGAATTGTGTCACCTTAGTTGAAAGTGGGAATAATTTTGATCCAACTAAATTCCACTAAAAAACAGTGAAGGGCTTCCTCTCTCCCACACAGCAGAGGGATTTGTGACAAGCAGGTCCTCTGGTTTCCTTTCACCAGACAAGTGTTCTCTGGGCCTTGAATTCAATTGAATAAAGCGCAGGGTTGCTTAGTTAGGCTGGGCAGTTGCACATATTCAAGATTTAGGACATGATTCTAATGAACACATGCAAACACTTTTAATTCCCTTTAGGGATATTATACTAAGGTTTAGAAAATGCATCAAATATTTCAGTCTCTGCCAACACCAGTGTATGTTTGGCACATTTCCAACAAAGGAGGGAAAGTTTAGGCTTAATTTCTCAGTTTAAAAAAAATTATAGTTTTGTCAAGATTTTTAATGTCAAAACTTCTTTACAGTGTAAGAGAGGATCAACCATGGGGGTGGGGGGCAGAGAATGAACTAAAAAAGAACAAGGCAGAAATAAAAAAGGAAATTTCAAAGAAGGGGCAAAGCTAAGTGCTGGCCCCTCAGCAACATTCCTGTTTTGCTATGACATCTCCTTAGTTATCAAAGTAAGAATAAGGATTTGTAGCTCTCACCTTCCAAAATAACAAGTAGTTTTCTTTAATGGATACTAGAAACCGTCAACACCAGATTTTTTAATACAAATAATATATCCAAAAATATTCATTTCCTGCACTAGAATTAAACCTGGAAAAAAAATTAATTTTACCCATTACTTCACAAGAAACAATTTATAAACAGTTCTACAAAGATTCACACTGGAAAAAAAACCCAAAAGCCCTCAAATTGCCTTTGTACAGAGGTGTAATAGTCACCAAGCTACCTGGAGTGACGAGGTGGACCAAGTGGGCTGTCTGCAACCCCACCCCAGGTTAGAAGTCAGAATAGGAAGAACAAGGGGGCAGCTAGGTAGATGTCTCAGTGGACAGAGCTGGGCCTGAGCTCATGAAGATCATCTCCCTGAGTTCAAATCCAGCCTCAGATACACCTGTTTGCCTCAGTTTCCTCATCTGTAAGATGTAGAAGGGAATGGCAAACCACTCTCCACCCAGTATCTCTGCCAATAAGACCCCAAAAAAGCTCAGGAACAGTGCATTGGTCACCACCGAACCCCAAACAAGAGGACAGATGAGGAGGAGCTGTCCAAAGCCCTCCACCCCCACCACAATACCTGACAGCTGGGCAGGCAGGGCCCCCCAAGACCAGGGGTCAGGTGTATCAGTTAGCAGATTGAAGGGAGGGGTCAGGAGCCCTGGTCAGTTTCAGGGAGGTGGGTGGGGTCCTGTGATCCAGGCCCTTCCCTAATTAAGGGCACAGCCTGGGGAGACCTCCCCCACTGACACCTTCCCAGAAAGAGTGTCAGACTGACGTTTAGCCAGCATACTCAACACACTGCCTCTTCCACAATTCAAAATGGCGGACCCTGGGGCCCTCCTGCTGCTCAGCACCTCCCCCCCATTTCAGTCCCCGAACCTTACTCTGCCAGTAAGATGGAACTGCTCCAGGGCCTGTCAGCCGGAGATGATGAGGCCAAACTAGGACTGGGCTCAAGGAGAGGCCCTGTGAAGTCTCACAAGGGGCCTCTGGCAGGGGGCAGACCACCGAGATCACAATTTGGGGCAGTGGGGGACACAGGAAGTTATCAGTCCTTGTACTTGGAACAAAAACAATATATCCAAAAGGATTCGCTTTCCGCAATAGAACAAAAACCTGAAAAAAAGAATTTTAGTTTTACCCATCACTTCAGAAGAAACAATTTAGAAACAGTTCTACAAACATTTCTATCCTTTTTTGTTGGAAAAGGAAAAGATTCACACTGGAAATAAAAACAAAATACCTCAAATGGCCTTTATACAGAGATGTAGTAGTCACCAAGCCACCTGGAGTGACAAAGTGGTAGTGGACTATCCCCACCCTCTAGCCCAGGTTAGATGTCAGAATAGGAAGAACAAGGGGGCAGCCAGGCTAGACAGCTCAGTGGACAGAGCCAGGCCTGAGCTCATGAAACTCATCTCCCTGAGTTCAAATCCAGCCTCAGATACACCTGTTTGCCTCAGTTTCCTCATCTGTAAGATGTAGAAGGGAATGGCAAACCACTCTCCACCCAGTATCTCTGCCAAGAAATTCGCAAAAAAGCTCAAGAAACGTTCACTGGTCACCACCGAAAAGGACGGGTGATGAGGTGCCGTCCAAAGCCCGCAGCTCCACCATGACACCTGACAGCTGGGCAGGCAGCCCCCCTCAAGCCCGGGGTAGATGGATCAGTAATCAGATTGGGGGGTTCCGTAGCTCTGGTCAGTTTCAGGGAGGTGGGTGGGGGTCTGTGACTCAGGTACTTCGGGAGTACTTCCCCTAGTGACACCTTCCCAGGAGGAGTGACAGACCGACCCTTGACCAGCGCACCACACACAGACTCTCCCTCAATTCAAAAGCGAAGGACGCTCGGGCCCCCCTGCTGCTGACCACACCCCCATTTTATTCCCCCTACCTCACTCTGCTGTCGGGCAGAAATGGCAGGGGCGGGACCCGGAGCCGGTTTTAAGGAGGGGCGCTGTGACGTTACACAAGGGGGCTGCGACACGCCAGAATGGGGGACCCACCTAGTGATCACAACGGGGGCTGGGAATACCGCAAAACTATCTGTCCCTGTCCTTTCAATAACAATAATATATCCAAAAGTATTCACTTTCCGCACTAGAATAAAAAAGAATTTTAATTTTGGGCACGACTTCACAAGAAACAATTTACAAACAGTTCTACAAAAAGTTCTATTCTTCTTTGTGAAAAAAAAAATTCACACTGCAAAAAACAAAACCAAAAACCAAAAACCAAAATAAAACAAAAGCCCTCACATTGCCTTTTTACAGAGCTGTACAGATAACAGTTACCACAGTGAGGGTGCTTGTCTTCCAGGCATTTGTGGCTGGGGGGGGTCTCTGGGCTGCCCCTGCCCTGCTGCTGGCCTGGTGACCCAGCTGGCCATCCACACCAGGAAGCTTGTCATGGGCAGCTTCAGGAGGGCACCTCTGGAGGACCAGGGGTGCCCTCAGCCCTGCCAGGAAGGCCTCTGCCCTCTCTTGACCTAGAGTTATGGACAGCAAAGGAGAGATGGGAACCCTCGGGCATGCCAGAGGATGTTTTTCAAATGCCCAAATCAAAATCCAAAGAATTTCAAAGGAAAGCAATTATGTTGAAATCAACATGCAGTTTTTTTTTTCCATCCAAGTCGATAGACCTGCCTGAAATCTGTCCCCAGCCCTTGGACCCCAGCTTAGGAGCCCTCACCTGCGGGAATCCCCACCAAGGCAGGGAAGGAAGGGACGGCTTATCCCTTAGGGAATGACTTCAAATGGGCTCAGGAAGACCAGGGAGGGTTTCAGGGATGGACAGATGCTGTGTGAGCTGCCAGAGTACTAGGCTGTCTGGGAGTACATTCACCTTTAGTAATGAAGGCAGTGATCACCAACATTCCTGTAGTATTTCGAGGCTGGCAAAATACTTCACATACATTATCTCCTCTGGTCCTAACAAAAACCTTTGGGAGGACTATTATCTCCTTTACAGATGAAGAAACTGAGTCTCAGAAAGGCTCAGGAAGAAAGTGATTTGCCCAGGGCCACGCTGCTGCCTTCAGAGGGCAGCCGTGAATACTGCAGACATCCTATATCTGTGTGCAGTTTGACCAAAGCCCCAGAGCCTCTGTGATGTGCTCACAGCTTTCTATGGGAAACATCTGGATGGTTTGTTTATTTGGACTCAAACATCCAGATATTTGGAAGTAAAAGCCAAGGCCCATCCCAGAGAATTCTCCAGGGTCACCCCAGGTTCATCTCCTGGGGGGTCTTGGCTGTGGGCAGCCTGCTCCTTCCCTGTCTTCCAGTGAGACAGATGGCCATTCTCAAGGTCTTGGGTTCAAGGGCCGCTTTGATGCCTATCTAAGCTTTTCCATTTGCCTTCTGGCTGCTTGGCATCATGGTGTAGACATACCCTTTGGCTGCCATTGGAGGCAGTGTTGCAATTGGCCAACAAGGTCTCCTCTCCCATTCCGAGTGTCTGCCACAGCCTAGGCATGGCACAAATGTCCTGGGACAGATACCAAATATCATTGGGGACAAAAAGGTGCCCTTCCCAGGCATCTGGGAAGGCAGCACCTCCCCTCAGCCGAGCCCTTGCCATCCACAGTCTCCAGGACTGTGGAGAAAGGAAAAAGGAACTATCACCAACACCTTGGGTCCAGCCACATGCCTCTCCTCCCCTGGTCCTGCCCTCCCTCTAGCTTCCAAGTGCCTGCAGTTCCTTTCAGAGCATGGGGGCAGGAGGGAGGGAAGGGGGGGCTTCTAGGAAGAGCTTCCCCTGGGGATCGAGGCTAGCTGTAGGCCTCTGGGTCAAAGGCTGGAGCTGAATCTGCTATCCCAGCCACCTCCCCCTACTTCCAGAGCCCATGTGCCCCCCTGGGGCATTTGCAAGTTCAGGTTGCAAAGCTCTCATCCTAGAAGTCTTCAACGCTTCAGCCAGAGGCTCACTGAGGCATCTGTGCTTAAGCACAGGCTGACCTGGATGGACTTGGGAAGGCCTGCCACGTTCAAATCACTGGACCAACAAGAGAAATCTTTGAGTATGAATGTGTTGGCCTTTCCTACTTCCTTCAGGCCTCATAAGCTGCCTCATGCATTTCAAGCCAACCCTCACTGAGTATATACTATGTGAAAGGCCTTGGGCTCTGGGCCCAACAAAGGGCTGCCCTCATGGAGTTTAAAGTCCGAGGGGAGACCTGCACGAATTCGTTCACCTGTCAGTATAATAAAAGTGGAATGTAATAGGGAGAAAGGAGAGATCCAAAGTTTTGTCCACCCAGAAACCACGTCTTGTAGAGTTGGGGGTGAGAGGCGCTCACTGGCTCAGGGTTAATTTGGAGAAAAAACCATTTCTCTTAGATCTCCTGAACCTTTCAGTGTCCTGTGGCCCCCAGGGAATGTATCATTTTCTGGACTTTAAGAGTACAGAGCAATCTCTGATTCAGGACACCCCAGCCCAGCACCTAGAAACAGAGAAGCGTCTTTAGGGAGATGACTGGGTAGGCCCAGCCCTGTCAAATGGGTCTTCCAATGGGGCTGCAGGCTGTTCCTTGAGGCAGCAGGGCAGACACCAGCTCCATACGCCTTTGGGGACACCTTTCTGCTGACACCCCCTTTCTTTCCTTCCAGATGACCACTCCAGGGTGATTCTCAGCCAAGTGGATGGAATTCCTGCTCAGACTACATCAATGCTTCGTACATAGACGTAAGCCAAGGGTTTTCTCCTCAACCAATGCTACTAAAATACCTGTTTTTAGGTAAATCATGACTGGCAGTGTGCCTTACTGGGTAGAGACTTAGCCTCAGAGTCAGGAAGACACCTGGGTTCAAATGGTTACTCACGGGTCAAATCATTTAGTCTCTCAGGGGCCCCAAGCAGGTCTCTGGGATAATAATAAACAGCAGAGATGATTGGGGCCTGCTCTGGGAGAGGGGATTGTTTTCACCTGGGAGCTCTGTAGGACTAATGAAATCACCAGGCGGGGCCAATCTTAAGCCCTTCCTGACTGTCACTGAAACCACTGCAGGAAATCACGAATACCATCTTCCTTCTGCAGGGTTACAAAGAGAAGAATAAGTTCATCACTGCTCA